GTGATGGTGTTGACGTTTGGAGTGGTGATAACGGAAATAACAGTTGAGAACGATGACGACACAATGACGTCATTAACTTATAATGATGAATATTTTTTGCAGTGTGGCCAGTTTGAGAGCGTCAGCAACTACATCATCATTATTTTTATCATCTCTGCCACTTTATTCCCCAATTATCTAGATACCAGCTTCTTTTGCTTCAGTAACTTATTGTGTATGTGCGTGTGCGTGTGTGCATGTGTGTGTATGCGTGCGTGCGTGTGTGTGTGCGTGTATTTTAACCCATCATCGTCGTCGTCATCATCATTTTCATTATCTGATCATCGACATCATGCTTATCATCAACGTTTCATCATCATCGTCATCCAAATCGTTTTAAGATCATCGTCATCATCATCATTACCGTCATCATCGTCATCATTATCATCATCTCTGACATCATCATCATTATTATCATCACACGAGCAACATGTGTAGGCGGAGTTCACTCAGTTGATGAAGGGTGGATGGAAACAATAAAAGAGTCTTTGTCGAGTGCTGGCCGCCAAGATAATAATGAACGCTATAAAATCCCCTATTTCTATTTTTATTTCCACATAAAAAACACACCACACACACACATACCGCCCACGCATCACATACACATCACACAAACCACACACACACACACCACACAAACCACACACAAACAAACACACACAAACAAACACACATACATACATACAAACATACACTTACCTTCTTTTACTTCAATCTCAAAGATTCCAACAACAACACACAAGCGCTTAAAACTACGCGTAAAATTCACTTATCACACACATTACATGGGATAGGCGGGAGCATCCCTTGTATTCAAACCCGGTTACTGGGACAACAGAGGCAGGCGCTATAACCATTACACCATCCTGTCGCCATGTAAACAATGAATAAGAAAATAGCGATAGGCAAAAAATACAAGACAAAATTTAATCAAGGTCTAAATATAAACCGTGAAACTGTCCAACATAAATGAAAAATCTTATTTACTACCATTCATTTCCGCAAATTCTCAAACCCAAAAATGGAGAAAAATAAATTAAAAGAGTAAAATGGTTCCTCCCTCCCAAAAAAAATCGAAATAAAATATTCAAATAGATGAAGAATGAAAAAGAGTTGCAGAAGAACGAAAATGTCTGGTTAAAATTTAAAAAATTAAATTAAATTAATTCATTTTATAGCCCGGCAGAAACAGGCTGTTAAAGAAGTGAATAATTATTTGCCAGAATTTGCAATAAATTTATTAAAATATTTTTTTTAATTTGAAAAAACTGAAAAATGAGAAAAATGGCAAGGTTTTTTGAATGTCATATCAGTTTTAATGGAAAAATGTTGGACGTTTTCAACAATGACGACTTCGACTATATTTAAGATGTGTCGTGTCGTCATCATCGTCGTCATCATCGTCTTCAGCATCTTGAGATATCGGATGAATGAATGAATGAATAAAAAAATGTATGAATAAATTAATGAACATGCAAACAATGAACAAACGATCGAAAGAAAAAATGAATGAAGGAATAAAGAATGAATGAATGAAAAAAGTAAATGGATATTGTATGTATATGTTCTTACGTACAAATGTAACGTTACATATATGTGTATATATATACCCAAATGTTTATAATTTCTAGAAACCAGATGACATGCGGTTGCACCGTGGCACGCATATTATTGCATAGCTCTGCTTTAGAAACCTTCATATGGGCATGCAGGCAAACTAGTAGCGTCGGAAAAATTAATTTCTATAATAGTGAAAAATATTTTTTTGTTATCGCGAAAATTATTCATGAATTTGTGAAAAATATAAGCATATGTGTATAAATTATCTTTTAATTAATTTAATTTGTTGTGTTTGCTTTAAACAAAAAAATTTGTGGTCTGTTAGTTGATACATTAACTGGAGAAAATTGTTTAGATTTTTTAAAAGTGTTTAATTGATGTATGCAAATGAATATTTTAACATTTTAGTGACATTTTCAAAATAAATTTTCAGACCATGTTTTTAAAAGTTAGAAATATACAAGTGGATTAAATTTTCGGCCGTAAGGATGAATCCGATGTTGTCGTTGCTGTTCCATCAGTGCCAGCTTGGAAGGATTTCGACAGATTTTCAATTGATGACGTTGTAATTCTCGACAGCATGTTTGGAACATCATCCACTGAAACATCATCCATGGAGCGTTACCACCCGTTTAAAAACTCACTCCATGGCTATATGAACGACCACAACACGACGAAAAACAACAATCTTTTCAACAACACAAGCAAAGCCATCAATAGCAACATCAACAGCAGCATCATCAACAACAACAACATCAGCAGCAGCATTTTCAACGCCACTTCAGACCTTTTGAATGAATACCACATTGCGCGAAGATATCACCTTCTCCTGCAGAACATTCAAGAGAGGGCCCTACAGCAGCAAGGCGGTCTCAATCAGCCCGCATCCGTTGAAATCACCATCATTGTCATGTACGTCATCATCATTTCCGCCGGATTCATCAGCAACTTCAGTGTCATTCTCGTCATCGGTTGTTCGAAATCTCTAAAATCGGTCACTAATTTGTTCGTTGTCAGTTTATCGGCCAGTGATTTAGCGCTATGTTTGTTCTCGCTGCCCATTCAGCTGCACTATCAACTTACTGGCAACTGGGCTTTCGGTAAGCTGTTGTGTCACTTGACGCTGCCTGCAATGGCGATACCGATGTTTGTATCGACGAGTACAATATTCATGATCGCTTTCGATCGGCACCGGTTAGTGGTGCATCCCTTTAAGAAGAGGCTGACCATAAAAAAGACGATACTTGTGATAATTTTCAACGTTATGCTGTCCGTCGTGTTCGCAAGTCCTGTGCTCTATTTTACCGAGTATTATCAGCTGGATGAGTTTAATAAATTCGAATGTAGAGAGCACTGGACTGTTCATGCAAACATTCGCAAACTCTACAGCGTTTTTGTGTTCATTGTTCTCTTTTGTTTGCCTCTGTTCATCACCGCGATCTTATATTTCCAGATCTACGTTTGTTTAGCGAACAAATCATACAAACCAGGGAAATATAAAAACAGCAGCAGCAGTATTAAGAACATCACTGTGTGTAGCCAGGAAAGCAGCCACAACAGAAGCAACAACAGACACCACCACAACAACAACTACGATAACGACATCATCACTTTTAATACCTACAACTCACGCAACCAACCTTACAAAGCCCACCGCAGACCGCAAAATATTTTGAATAAAATTTTTAAGACGAGACAAACGCACGTTCGTTACGCTGCGTGCCACAACAACAGCAACACCAACATCTCAAACTTCGCCTGCCAGAGCAACAACAATATAGATGCCGACATTAATTTCAATAACGATCATAACATTAATTTAGAAATTGTAGAAACGTGTAACAAAAATTTATTCAACAGCAGCGATGATGACAAGAACAAAACTGACAGCAACGACCACGACAACACAACTCGCTGCAATGCTCATGCAAGAAATAACAACGAGAACAAATCAAAAGAGGAACATAAAGAAAATCACAAATCCGCTGCGGACCTCACTGATACGAACGACAAAGACATGCTTCAACCGCCGAAAGAATTTTTTGGAAACCAAAAATTCCCAATAAAACTCTCGAACTCTAGTGACTTCGTCGTTAAAAACAACAACAGAAACAACAAAGGCAACAAGTTTGATGAGGCAAATAGGGATAATAACAGCAACAAGAACGTTCTCAAGAAGGAGCAGAATGAAGTGAAACTGTACGATATGAAGGACGACACAAACAACAAACACAACAACGTCAATTTCCAACAACAACAACAACAACACCACCAGCATCGTAATAGCGATGAAAGCTACGTTTCATTGACAAACTCAACGATGACAACCACAAAAAGATTTTCGACATTTATGATGACGAACTCTTCGACCACGAGCAGCGTCAAACGTCGCTTCTACAAAACGAACAGGATCCTCATGGCCACTGTTGTCAACTTCTGCGTGTGTTGGACGCCCTGGAATGTTCTCTCCCTTTGCACCGAAATTTTGCTCACCTACCCCGGCAACAACCCGACCCAACTGACGTCCAATAACGAAACAACAAACACGTCATCAGCAACACTAACAACAATGTTTGCAACATCCGCCAACAACCATCCATCTCCAATCGAATCTCTCAATTCGACACTTGAAAACATCGAATCACTGGACGAGGAGACCATAAAGTTTAGAAACATCTCATCGGAACTGGAACGAATGCACAGGGGTATACACTACTACCTCCACAACCTACAACCCATCTACAAGCACTACAAACAACAGAACCTACGCACGGACCACGTCAGCAACTGGACTGAAGATGAAACCTCCCTCGAGAGCTTTCTCTTGCCCCACATCGGGTTATTGGACCTGATCTTCAAATGGATGGCCATGTTATCGGTCTGCATCAACCCGCTACTCTACTGCTGGCTCAATGAGAATCTCAGATGCGAAGTCAACACATTCTCTAACAGATTGAGGTTGCAAGGTCGTCACCATAGCAACGCCGTGACGTCATTCGTCATCGGCAGCTCGATTGCCAGGAGGAGGAAGAGGAAGTCGGGATGCGTAGTTGCCGGGAGTAAGAAAGTTATGTTCCTCGCCTGACATCAGCTGATTGACGTCGACAATCAAAATATAATAAGAGTAGTGATACTCTTCCTTAATTGTAAACGTTTGCTCTTCTTTACGGCCAGCTTCACTCCACTGTTACTTTCGCAAAATTTCTGTTTCAGCTACTTGAATTAAATTTAAAATGTATACAAGATTCAAATAAACTTCTTCGCTATGAAAGAAAATTGAAAAATCATTAAATAAACAAATAATGTTTTAATAAACTGGCGCACTATATTTTCAGCTAGTGTATCTGTAATAAATTTTTATTAACAAGTGCATTTGGCTGTAAATAATTAAAAATTCAATGAGATTTGATAGTAATACTTCATTTTGATTCATTGTATGTACAAGTTTTCAGTGTGTTTTCTCTTGTTATATTGCTCAGCCTACTGTGAAACTAATTTGCTAAGTAATATTACTGATGAATAATAAACACACACGCACACACACACACACAAACAAACACAAACACACACAAACAAACACACACGGTTTCAGACTATAATTTTTTTCATTACAAACATACTACTGGGATAACATTGAATTAAATGTCATACGAATAATCTTTGAATAAAACTTAAATATTCTCTAAATTTTTTGTTTTTTAATGATGCATTTGAAAATTATTTGAAAAGGAATTTAAAATAAAATAACAGTAATAATTAACGACAGTATATAAGTGACTGTTTTCAAAAACGAAGCATGAATCACTGATAACTAGGTTTTCTTTAAAAAATTCTCGAGTTCAATGCAGAAAAAATGAAATAAATTCAAGTGGGTGATTTTTGATTGATGGAATGTTTGCAAATTCATAACGCTAACAACTTTTTTGCAGGAAAAAAATTGGAAAAACTAGGAAAAACAAAAAACAAATCGCATTTTAAGACCTTACGACAGATTTTAAATCTAACAAGCTTTTCCGCTAGTTTTATTTTTTAAAAAAAAATCTAAACAAAAGTCATTCATTTTCTTAAAAGTTGTCGTCTTAATTTTTCAGCAACAAATTTTTTAAAAAACATGCACGCTGACTTGGAAGATTAATAGAGCGAGGGATTTCCTTCGCATATCGCACCACACACACAAACACACAAACACACACACAAACACACCAACACACACAGACAGACATTCCAATCAACACACACACACACACACACACACACACACACACATTGTATCTTTTTATGAAAAAATAATTGACTTTTTTGTACTTTTTGTATTTGAAACATACAAAATAGTTGTATGTTGTATTTCGTATTTAATACATACAAACAACAATTGAAATTTGTTCTTTCTGTATGAAACGAGTTGAGCAATTTATTTAAGTTACGCCAGTGTTGATGTACTGAAATCAATGCTATGTGTGTGTGTTTGTGTGTGTGTTTGTGTTGTGTTTGTGTGTGTGTTTGTGTGTGTGTGTGAGTTGGGTTGTTTGTTGGTGTATATGTATGTACGTGTTTTAAAGCACCTATTAGTTTATGTGTGTGAATGAGTAGATACGTGTGTAAGTGTTTAGAGACGTGTGTGTGTGTGTGTGTGTGTATTGTGTGTGTGGGTTAGTGAATTAAACTATTGAAATTTTATTAGGATAAATTGATTACAAAAATTTCGTTGCTACCCATCAGTCACAATCAAATACCATCACAGCGTTCAATATAATTCATTCAACAATAACTGCTGCAAAAACTTCAACGTCACTCAAGATTTTTGCGCTAGTAACAAGAAAATTTTTATAGCCACAATATACACACACACGCGCGCACCCACACTTATGTACACAAACACCACCCACACACTTCACATACACACACATCTAAGCCCACACATGTATATAAACAAACACTCCTGTAAATATGTACGTATGTGTGTTTTTTTTTTGTTTGCGATTGCGTGTGTGTGTATGTGTGGCGTGTATGTGGTGCGTGAGTTGTGTGTGTTTTCATGTTTGTGTATACCAAATGTGCTGATAATGATGCTTCAAGGAGCACGGTTAAGAAGTAATAAATTTGTGTTATAAAGTAATTCTGTGTTGTGTGTGACCTTAATATGCTAGTAGTAATGGTGATGATGGAGGTGTGGCTGATGATGATGATGATGACAAACATGACGATGATGATGATGCGGCTAATAATGATGATAATGATGATGATGCTGCTGATGATGATGATAATGATTATGATGACACAAATGATGAAGACGATGACGATGATGATTATGACACACACAAACAAATATATTCAACCAGTCAATCAATCAAATACACAATTTAATTAATTAACCAAATCAGCATCTTTTTTCTGTCAGACAACCCTGGGCCAATTGAACATTCCTCTGCTAAAAATTTGCCATGCTAGCATTTTTGTCAACGTCAAATTTGACAGATTTTTTGTTTTAAGGATGAAATTTTTTTAACCAAGCCAAAAAATACTTTCGCAAGAGTTTCAAATTTTTATGTACCACAAAGTAAAATCAGCTAAGGTACTTTGTTCAAGAAATGTATTTTCTACATTGTTTTTCATCATAATGCTCCTCATTAAATTCAAGTTTGCCATGTGAACGTAATTTCTACCCCATTTTACACCATAAATTCTAAGGACACACGCACAACACACGCACACACACACACACAACCCACACGATCACACGATCACACAATCCACACACACACATACAATCCACACACAACACCACAACACACACACACACACACACACACACACACACACACACACACACACACACACATACTTAACACACTGCTATCTGCTGACAAGACACATATCACATAGGTGAGCAACGCAATTTTG